TTGTAAATTAGGAGACTTGAATTTTCCCAGCTGTAATTTGCCTCATGAGTGTTTATCAGCTGATTTTGCTAGGTAATTGGCAGTGCTTCTGAGTGATTGCTTCACGTAGGTGGCAAAAAAATGTTCAAGATCCACTCCCAACCAACAGTTCTAATGAAGAAAARTGGAAAGAAAGGAGTATATATTGACTGCTGTCTATTTAAATAGACAGAAACAGCACAGGACTCAATACCAGCCCTCGAGTTCCACAACTAAATAATTGGCAGGCATTGGTGAAAYTGTCTTTACTCTCTCATTCTTTTTGTTGCTTTTCTCATCTAAATAAAATTATTTTGAATCTCACCATAGTAACCTTAATGTAATGAAGATATCCAAGCATTATCTCACAATTGTGCGTGAAGAAGCACTGACTGGTTCCACATTAAAGAATTTTGRGATGAATGGATGGACAGATGGACAGACACTCCTCTGAAACACTGAGAYRGCCCTTAACAAGYTGCCTATGCACTGTTAGGTTCACARRCATTTGTTGATCTGTTTTAAATGAAATAAWTTATAAAATACAGAAACATGGCACAAGGGTGTACAGGTTCTTGTGTTTAGTGTGGTGAAACATCAGTATCCTTGGCTCTCAGAATTACATATTACAGTTGTCTGTTTTTCCAAGTACCTGCTAAATCCTTGTTTTTCAATAACAGGATCATTTAAAGCAGCTGACTAGATAGATCTGAATTCTAATTAAAGTATTAAAAATATTTGCTAATGCAGAGGTTTGCACACTGCATCATGTTTGTTGTGTGCAAGTTGCTTCAGCAACCAAGCACCTCTGAGCAGGTATGTGTTCTGGGGGTATTTGCTGCTGTTCCCAGGTCTGCTGTGATCATGGGAACGCAGCAGAGTAAATTGGAGAACCTCTATCAAAAAGTTTATTTAGAAAAATAATTGTATAAAATTTAACATCCCAGTTTATTTTGTTTCCTTGAAAACCTTTTAATKCCTAAAAATGTGCTGACCGATCGAATGAGCTGAATGTCTAAAACATTYTTGCATAAAATTGGTGTGGTATTTTTAGAGGTGATACAGAGTGTCARTTGATATATTTAGCAATTAATCCAAATATGACCCTCCTTTCGTAACGGTTATGATTTTTCACTGTTTTGTATTTTGCAAAAAAAAAAGTTTGCTTTCTTTGGGGTTCAATTTAATGTATCTGATAGTATGGCACCTTCAAAGGCAAGAGTGAAATGGGASACTTACCTTTATAGCAGCCAAAAATGTGAATTAGACTTCTGCTGTTTCTCCTGTGGAAGAGACTGGTACTGAATGGTTATTTCACTATCCTCAGTTTGTTRGGAATGATGCACACAGGCATTTAAAAATAGATTATTAAAATGAAGCCCAAGTTAAAATGAATTCACGTTTCATGCATTCATGGAATCACCTTTCTTAAGCACCAGTGGCATCACATGCTGCTGAATTATCTCTAAGGGATCTTAATTACTACAAATTTCCCAACTATGTTCATCAGTACCTCCAGCAAAAACCTTTCATTACTAATTGATCCTTGCTTGCACGTGAACTTCCATACTCCCTGTGGCATTCATCAACTYTGTCAGTTGGTGTCTAAACATGTTCTGTTTTTTCTGATAGCCAAACTGAAGAGAAACATGTTGACATATGTTAAAATACTAAAAATTTTAGTATTATTAAAATACTGTAAATTAGGTTTAATAATACACAAATTAATTTTTACTGTAGCATAATATATGARCATCATTAGAAGTTTATAAAAGTGAGTACTGCTTGCATTTGCTTTTATCAGTATATTGATAACATGTGAAGGGAGGAAACAATGTGATGGAAGCTGTTTCTGTTATTCTTTATGCTACTTAAATTCTTCTCATTTTCAGAAGAGCTAATTAATAATCATTGACCAGATCTGTAGAAATAGAATGACTGACTACTACTTCAAACKCMTGACTTGAGGTCTAAAATATTGGAMRTTTTTTTCTAAATTAATGAAGTGGCTATCTTCAATTTATAGATGTTTCACTGAGAATAATTTTAAGCTCTTGTCAAACCTGTAAGGGTTTAAAAAATGTAAAGGGTCACACATTTTATTGTTAACAGAGGGTGTTGAGAGAGACTGTCAACACCCTATGAAGCATTAAGCTGTTGCCTTTGATGTGTAGGCAGCACCTTAGGTCTCACGGAGCTGTACTGTATGTAAGTGTCCATATGTTCAACCCACTTTGATGTGTTCAGAGATCTTGGGCCAGCAGTATCCGTATGCTGCATCACAACTCTAGGAGGTAAAGCATGCCATCTGGATTCCTGTTCCTTTTTCTTACCTTGTGTCACAGCTTCTTCACGGTAACAGAAAGCTGCCTTTGTTTTTCTTCCCTGCTACTCAAAATTATTTGGCAGTTTACAAAAAAAAAAATAAAAAAAAAAATCTCTTTTGAGCAGTCTTGAATGAATTTTATTTTGGATGTTTATTAACAACCTCTTAGAAGGGATGAGAGACAGGAATGGATTTTCTGAATTCAAAATGTATTCCAATACTCATGCAGTGACAGTGAAAAGAGAGTGTTTGAGATACCTTTATTAACTAAGAACTCCATTTCCTAGTTRCAAAGTCTTTCACCTTTTATATCTGTTCTCAAGTCAGTCTACTCATGTAAGATTCAAGCAGATGTTGAGTGGTGGCTGTATTAGCACTGGGTGCTAATAAACTGAACACTCTGTATTGCAAAACACTTGCTGTGATCAAATCCAGGAAAAAAATCCTCATTTTTTTCAATGGGAAGTAGTTCATATGACAGATGCCTCACAAAAAAATGACTTCATTTCCTATTCTCAGTAAGTTGTGACTGTTCATGCATAAACACTGACACAGAAGTGCCATATAGGCTAACATTTGTAGCCCTCACTGAAAGGTGCCTTAACTAAGAAGTCAGGCTCTTCTCTCTAAAGCCAAACTATTTCAGAGAACTGTTTTTAACAAAGATCTTGCACAGATGAGGCACATCAACCCATGACATAGGAGCTTTGCTCATTCTGGGTGAACCAGGCTTGCCAGAGCTCTTCCCCCTACACACCTCCCCCTTTATTGGCAGTACTGGGATCTCTGGCACCAGCAAAATGTGCATACAGATAAGGTATCTTAGAGATCTTCAGTTTCGTGCAGCTCCTGGGCAGCAGTGTGTTCCTCAGTATGTTCAAGCTCCCTCTCTGCAGAGCTTCTTGTCCTGCTTTCAAGGTCCCCTATCTTCCATCTGTTTCTTTTTCAAAGTTTTGGTCACAGGAGGGATTTTCCCTGACAATCCTGACTTTTTTTTGTGTGATTTAATTTTCTTCCACTAGCTTACTTGAAAATGTATTGGCTGCAGTGGGAACTTGTTCCTGTACCTTTCCTGCCTTTCAGGGTGACCTGTTCATGTTCAGGTCTCAGTGTGACAGAATGTGTGTGTTGTGTTGCAGTGCTGTCTGGTCTGCTGAAATTTCTTATACATGTGGCATAGCCACAGGACAAATGCCCAGACCATATGCCCTATCACCTTATTTGGATACTGTTGGGAACCTGAGAGTCTCCCTGTTGTTTCTTCTCTCTGGGAGACGTTTTGGTAAAACATTGCCATGGCCCTTGTGACATTCCTCTTCACCTTCTGCTGCATTGTTGGTGGCTTGCCCAGCTCAAAACCATGTGGAGATTTCCCTGAATTGCTGTACCTTTTTTTTTTTGGCCAGGGAAGTACCATTGTGTGGTGTGGAAAAAGCCTTTCCTCTTGGATCTCAGTTTGACAGTGTGAAGGCTCGTAGTTTATGCTAGCAGGCAGAGCACAATTTAAATACCAGTTTCCTAAAGCTTGGATAAGAAAAAGGTACTACATTTTTTTCTTCACATATTTGGTCACTTTGTGGCCATTCTTGTGCTTGTATCAAGGGGAAGCAGTCGACTCACACAGATAGTGCAGTATCAGAAATAGCAGCCTGTGGTGGATTCACTAAAAACATGGAGGAGTTTCAATGTGGTGACATTAATCATGGCACATGGAAAGGAATTGAGAATTGCAGGTTGCCAGTCTTAGAACCATCTWTGGTTAGGAGTGTTTCCAAAGTTGKCCTCCTGYARTCTTGAATTATGRACAAAACATRTATTTTATAATGAAACATACATTTTATTTTGTATAGGAAGAGAAATCAGTGACCAACCAGAAATACCCCTCACCTATCCACCACATGTGGTGGTCTAAATAGTAGCAGCAGCAAAAGGCGATGTGGGTGCAAGGCAGGCACTGGGAGGGCTTGGGTATGCGATGCGATGCGATGTGATGATGTGATGTGATGTGATGTGATGTGATGTGATGTGATGTGATGTGATGTGATGTGATGTGATGTGATGTGATGTGTGGCTGGTGTGACTGTGGATGTCATTCGGAGGCACCGTACTTGTGACTGCCTACCCGGGGAGTGTGAGCGCACCACGTGTATCCTGTCCTTGATACTGAGCTGCTCAAGATTTGAATCAAACTTTGAATTTTTTTTTTTTCGGTTGTTAATCAGTAGCTATAGCTGGACAGTTATGATTGAGCAATTGCATTGTGAACGTTGTATGCTTGGCTAGTTGTTTGTTTTAAGGAAAAGAGAAGACAATCGAGAGATGAATGGTCTATCTGGATGAGAGCCACCGTGAGTGAAGCCAGCAGAACTGAGCAGTARCTGGGGGAATGGTAATTCTGGCTGTGGGCGATCCCGACCACCTACTCAAAACAGCCTGAAATGGGCAGAACTGTGCCTGTGTACTAATTAGCATGAGAACGGAGAGATATGACTAGCAAATAGAGAGTTGATTACTAATTAATAGAAAACTTACGCAATTTGTAGCCAGTGAATGCCGCTGCCTTTGTTATAACGAATAAACAGCGTAAAGTTTTGATGATCTAGCCTTTTGTGGGTTACCACGCAGCTCAAACACCGAAGTGCCTCGCCCCGGTGTGTGACTCGCCGCTGCGCGCCCGGTAACGAGCGGCCGGGACAGCGCCCAGGCGCGGGGCTGGCCGTGCCTCCCGCTCCGCTCGTTCCTCAGCCGCCGCTGCGGGCGAACCGGCCCCCGCCTGCCTCCCGGTGCCTCCCGGTGCCTCCCTCCAGCCCCCCGCTTTCCCCCGCCTGCCCCCTGCCCGTTCCCCGCCCTCCCCGGCCTGTCCCCCACCTTCCCGCCGCCTTTCCCCCGCTTGYCCCCCGCCTTTCCCCCTTCTGCTCCCGGTGCCTCCCGGTGCCCCCCGCCCGCCGCTCTCGGTGCGCGGCGCTCCCGGGGCCCTGTCCGCTCCCAGCGGGCATGGAGCGGCTGCAGGTGGATGCGCAGGCCCTGGAGGAGTACGCGGAGTACCGGCGGTGAGGGGCCGGGGCCGGGGGCGGCGCGGTGGGGTCGCTGGGGCGGGGCCGGGCGCTTCCAGCCGGCCCGCGGGTGCGGGTGGCAGCCGTGTCGCATCCCCGGTTGCTGGCCCGCGGCCCGGGATTCCATTCCTCCGGGAGGGATGCTCGCCTCCCGCCCTCTGGCATTGACTGCTTCGGGGTCTGCGGCGGCTTCGCTRAGTCACACGCAGCGCCCGCTGTTCATTGTCGCAGTCGGAGGTGCGGTGGCCGGTGTGCCCTGGTGAGGACACATTGCGAGCCTTGGCTGTCAGCAGTGGAGTCACGCACCGTCCCTCGCATCCAGGCCCACCCGGCACTCTGAGGTGTGCTGGGAGAGGCCATCTGGTCTGATTGTGGCATCCCTGCCCACCGCAGGGGCGTTGGAATTAGGTGGTCTTTARGGTCCCTTCCAATCCAAACCATGATTTGATAATCTGCCAGCCGTACTGCTCTTTCAGAATACAAGGACTCCTGTGCATCACAAATTCCCAATTTTGCATAAGTATMAATCCCTTATATTGCTGCGTGTCTTTGCTAAACTTGTCAGCAGTCCTCTCGAAAGGCTGAACAAAAATAAACACATTGTGCTGAGATGAGATCTTAATTTAGTTTAGGAGAACCTTGAGTAAAACACCAGAGGAAGGCACTGTGATATTTCTTACATAAGATGTGCAGTGATTCAGTGGGTGTTGGCTGGCTTGACACGCAAATGATAGCGTTGGGTTGGCACATTATTCTGGTGCTKCACAGTGCTGGCAATGCACAGATCCACAGAGTATTTGACAAAGAATTGCTCATTCAGTGTGTTTTAGCACATCCAGTAAATCATAACTGAATTTTTACAGACAATAAAATCACTTTCAGCGTAGGTAAGTGCTGCAGTTGAGTCTCAATAGTATTTTACAGATTTTATTTATTGTCATCAATTGTGTCCATAAATGCAGAATTYGGATGCTGCTCCAGTGTTCCGTGTTCACTGACCATGCATTTGAACACAGTGATAGCTTAAACAAATGGGCCTGTCTGAATTGTGGAATACAGCTCTCACCAACTTCAGCTACAGAAACTAGCACACTCTTCTTGCAAATGGAAGACAACTTGGATGTGTTRTTTGCCTGCTCGCAGTGAAATACTCAGACTAGACTGAGATTAATCTCTGGATACAAATTTGCAGTGCAGTTTGGTKTAGATGGGTGAAGTGGCTTGCCAGAGGTCAGTCAAGAAGACTGTGGCAGAGCTGGTTTGTTATATGACCCTTGATGCTCATTGCTTTTTTTTTTTTATTTTTTTTTTTCCAAAAGAACACTTGGTAGTTTGCTTTATTATTTTTTTCCTTCTCTCTTACAACTGGTTTTTAGTCCATCAGAGCAAGATCTTCAGAAGAAAGAGTTCTTCTTTTTTGAACATTGTTCATTTGAAGAACATTGTTCAAAAAATGTTCTCTAAAATYAGCTAYMGCTCTGTTAAATTATTAGAACAGTAATATGAAATACAAGACTTGTTTTGCATTTACAGAAAAAATGCTGTTATACATTATTTGGAAAAAATACCTGGAGAAATCTACTTTTATTGTCTCTATTTTCTTATGGCTTTTTTTTTTTTTAAATGACATGTATACAGAATTGTAGGTGATGATGATGGAGGAAAGCTCTTTACTCCTGAGGAATATGAGGAGTAHAAAAGAAAAGTATTACCAGCTCGGCTAAAGAACAGGTTGTATGTGAGCTGGAGATCACCAACTGGCATGGACTGCAAGCTTGTGGGACCAGAGACACCGTGCTTTTGCACTCACCGGTGGGTACCTTTTCTTCTTTTACACTTTCGTATTTTAAAAAACCAGAAAAATGTGAAATATTCCTGAACATTTACAGTACCACATAGGCAAGTTTATTCAATGTCTAAGGATTGAGAAAATTAGGTTTTAAATAGTAAGAACTGTTTGTAAGTGTAAATCTCAATGTATTGCTGAGACCATAATGATTTTGCAATCTCAATAAATTCAGCTGTAAGGCATGATCAGATTGATTCTRGTAATGCTCTCAAAATGAAACCTAAGGAGATGTGATATTTATGTAATGCCTATATGTAAAAACACCTGATACCATGCATTTAATTGAAAATTAAMAACAATAAATAATATAATTAATGCTGCTTCAAAACCAAAGTTCTTGAAGTAACTTATAAGCCTTTCAGTTAGTTATCTGGTAAATACTACCACAGTTATAAAAGTTATTATTTTTCCTGGTTTAGGTACAAACAACACAAAACAGACTATGAGGAGCTTCCCAAAGAGCGCCCTATCAGTGTGCCTTGCAGAGTGAAGCGCTGTCCGTGCCAGTCGTACCAGTTTGTGCCCCTGAATGGCACCCAGCCCATCCGCTGCCGCTGCAAGCACTTCCCCGATCAGCACAGCGCAGCGCCCGGCTTTGCCTGTAACTCCTGTGAGTTTCTGCTGGGCTTGCAGCATTCCTTGCCAGGAAAATCAACAGGAACAGCATGTTAAGGATCTGTGTTCTGCACAGGGTGTTGGGTATCTGCTGCACTTGTCACTGAGGTGAATTGTCATCCTTGAGGAAGGGCGACAAGTGGGAAGGAAAACATCACCCTTTGCACAGGAGGGTTTAGAACAACATCCTTCGTTTCTCCAGCTCCTGTGAAGGAGTTTAAATCCCTGAATGGTTCTGATGGGTTCTTACGGAGACAGATGCCTGAAGTCAGACAGTATGAAATCAGCCTGTTTGTCACTTCCAGCTGCAAGCATGTGCCTTTTCTACTTGAACTTGGTAGTTTGAGAGAGAGAAGTGTTGATCTCTATTCCTCTGTTGCCTAGTTGACCATAATGTTAATACATTTTTATATCTTTTTTCAACTCAGCAGGAAGTAGCACTTTGTTCACAAATAATACAATTGTTAGCACTCTAACAAAGCAGTTCCTGAGCATACAGATTGTGGGTCCAGAAATGCAAATGAGAATGGAGTTTCTGCAAGATCTTAGAGAAAGGATTAAGAGGAAGCTTTTTGCTACAGTTGTTTGAGGTTAATGAAATGAAACAGCAGTAATTATTAACCACAGGAAATAAATAATGCATAAAGATGTTTTAGTTTGAAACCTTGAATTACATAAGATGAAGATTTTTTTTTGCTAGAGTTCTGCGGTGTTATTAAATTCCTTTCATGGAATGTCTCTTTTGTACAGAAAAAACTGCAAACAGCTTTTGCTGGTTGAGAATCATATCCTACAGATTAAAGAGAACCTTATCCCACAGGCTTTTAAGAATTTGCACTAAGTTATGCGAAAATCTTAAATGTGCAACTGGATAATTCAAACTGAATCCAYAGAACTGTGTTTTAAATATTAATTTATATTATGCCTTTTATAGTGTTTATCAGAAATACCAGACACTTCTGAGGGTTTCACAGAACTGAGATTTTGCACAGAAGTGCCAAGAATTGTTTCTGTTTCAGACTTGTGTTGTTGTAATGTGATGGTATTAGTCTTGTCCAGTGTTGATAAATCTAATGTGATWGATAAGTTATAATTGAAAAACTTWGTGCTTGTTGTGCWGTATATRTTGCATAYAYTGTATTCTGTGTCCAAACACAGRGTTCTGTTACTGAGCAGTGCCCAAAATAACATGAAAAATCCTTTAATGTTTTCGAGAGTGTGATCCACGTGTTACACAAAACTTAAAAGAAATCTTTTATGATGCTCCACAAAATGAACTGTGAGTTGGAAGTGGGGCATTTTATATARTGAAACATTTGCAACATCACTTCCTCAATTTCTTGGACACATTGCTGCTTCAGAGAGGCTTTGATGACAATTTTAGAAGTAGCTAGGGCAGACAGGTCACTTCTGAATGTCACATGGCATTTTTATAACTATTTCAGTTGCATYCTGTGGCTGTGTAAGCTTAAAAAACCTCTGAAAGTCAGTCTAATGATACTCCTGTATGGAACCCATTTTGTTGCTTCCACAATCTATTTGCTACTGAGAAAATTTTGCTAATTTTAGAAGACGTTTAAATTGTGATTTGTGTAATAAATTGTGAAGTTTCTTAGCCATGCAACACTGATGTGTGCTATACACCTTTGGAGGGAATGCTGCCAAAATGATGGCAGGTTGTCATTTTCATCCAGTGTCAAAACATCTTTTTCTTGTATTCGTTCTAAGTGGATGAAGAAGCATATTGCTAATCACAATGGAGAAACACATTGCAATACAGGAAACTGTTAGATATCAGAAAAGAATTTTCTGATCCAGGATTGGTCCAGGCTGCTCAGAGAGGTGGAATCTCCATCCTCAGAGATACTTGAAACTTGGCTCTGTAAGATCCTGCAACTGGATTGCCCTCATGATGTAATCCCAAGCATCGTACTTTCTCTTTCATGCACCTTTTCATGCAGCAGGATGCTTAAATTCCATCATCATCTCACTCATTTATTTGTTTTTTTAGGTTCCAAGTGTTCAGGCTTTCATAGCTCCTTTACCTGTGCATGTGGTCAGCCAGCATAYGCTCACGAAACRGTTGTGGAAACGAAAGAGGAGCGCWTAGCCCAAGGAAAGCCCGTGGGGCAGGATGTTCCTTACGCTGCCATGGGAGGACTGACAGGTTTTAGTTCTCTAGCAGAAGGCTACATGAGGCTYGATGACAGTGGAATAGGTATGTGCAACTGATCTGAGATGAAATTTTAATTATCTGTCTAAGTTTTGGAAAGTGCTGAATCAAAATAGATTTTTAAAATCTGAAGGGAAATTAGATCAATAGGAGTAGGRCTGCAGAAAGGCAGCTCCTTTCCAGCAGTCCTCAGGTGTTAAGAGATCACATTGTCCAATTTCCTCTAGTGAATTGATAAAAAACTTCTTTATCAACAATTCCGGTGTTTAACCCAGCTGCCTCTGGTTGAAATGCAGCATATCCTTTAGAGAGAACCTGTAACTTCAAATACTTCCTGTAACCTGATACTTTCACATTCTATTTGGGTTAGTTCTTTAGCCTAACACTACCCAGGTATTTCTTGGTTATAGATTTACAGCATTTTTGTTTCCAAACTCAAAGGTTAATAGCTGTTCAGCATAAAAAAAAGAGGTAATTGGTAGAACTTTTTAACAGACATGTTAGTTGGTCTTGRTGCTTTTTCTGCTCTGTGATTTTGCATCATTTAATAACGGACATGTTTGATCCTGAAATACTGTTCTGGCTATTATTGCTACATACTCATACTTTCTTTTTCAAGTTCTGGACTGGATTCCTGGATTTGTCTGAAGTTTAAAAACTTCAGCATTACTTCAATAATTAAAGAAAGAAAGCTCTTCATTCCTTTTGAAGCCGCCCTTTTAATGTTTTTGTTAACTCAGGTTTATGGGGTCTGTGCAGAGAGTTGTAGATATGAATCTGTAACCTTGTTTTGACCCTGTCAAATATATTAGGAACATATCTCCTGAAGTTAATTATTGTTTTCATTCAACTTATTTTCTAACAGGTGCTCCTCCTGCTGAACTTTTAGATGCCCCCATTACTAGCATGGATCATCCATTTCTGAAAGCATTTCAGGGCCCTTCTAGTTCTACTCAAACCATCCCACAAATAGCAGGTAGGATAATATRATTAGGATAATATTGTTATATAAAAAGAATTAAATATAAAGTTAATTGATTTTATTAATGAATTGAAGGATGCTTAGGACATTAAATTGAGTATTGAAGCCTCAGTATGTGAAAGGTTAGTACAACATTCATGTGCTTCAAATGCTTAGAATGACTTAATGCTTGCTGTTTTTGCTCCTGGTGTACTTTTTACCTTAAATTATTTTTTTTGTTAATGTTTGTTATCTTCCCCATTAATGGTATCATGTATTCATTGGATCAGCTTTTAACATTTTYAATTTCTTTTAGAATCTCATATCTGAACGGGTTGTACATATTCAGCACAATCATGTGACAGTGCTTTCTGCCAGAAAGGTTTTTCTACATGGGATTATGGATCACTTATACTTTTTTTTATGCCTCTCATTTAGTAGAACAATTTAGCAATTACTATAACTGTTGAACTCCTTAAGATAATTTATAATAGGTGCAAGCTTAGACTAAAAAGGTTTCTCTTTAGTCCCAGCTGATGGGTTTAGTGCTTGCTTATAAAGGTGAGCTCCCATTTCAAATGGATTTTGCCCGATGTAAAACATAACTAATGGAATAACAAAWAACATTAATGAAAAAAGACATTTTTTTTGTTTATGTTCTGTTTTTCAGGTAGTTCAAGTGCCACAGGGCAAGTTTCTCATGGAAAACAGTCAGAAGCTGATGACATGGCTTACTTTGAAAAACGTTATCAAGAACGGGCAAGTTACTGCATTTATTGCTTTATTTCAATACACTTTCACAAGAGGATGTCTGAAACTGATATATATATGATTTAAGTGGCATATCAGGCATTGTATAACTCCTTCTCAATTCTTGAGAAAGCTAGCCTCTKAACATAAATTTTAAAATACAGTTATGAGCTATTACAGGATTTCAGAGGTCAGTCATGTGTGGGATGGCATTTACCTTAACTAGGCACATAGCTCTCTATTACAGAAAACCAAAGCATTTTACTGTGTGACAAAAAGAAACAGCAGTGCAGACACACAGAAACTCCCCTGTGACATTTAGGACTTTATCACGTTCCTTTTTTTTTTTTTTTAATGAATGTTTTTGCCAGTTGGGCTAAATCTTCTCTGTATTTCTTAGATGACCTGTATCACTCAAAGATGCCTCCTCCACCCTACAGACTAGCTTTAATTTCAATGCCCTATGGCATGGGTTATTCACATGTTTAAATACCTTTTCTTTCCCCGTGTTAGCCCCTTAGCTCCACCATCTCAGCTGAAGTATGTCTCAACTGTTTATGAATTGTTTTGTAAGGCAATGTGTCATAATCAACTTTTAAAATCAAAACTGTTTTTCTGCTTTGCTTGCTGCTTGCAACAAGGTGTTTGTTAAGGACAAAACTGTTCCAGCTTTGTGAAATTTTAAATGTTTTTCTTTGTTTTGTAAATCATCACAAAATAGGGACAGATGCTACACATATTACATAGTTTTATAAAAATCATCATATTCAAATTTCTCCATGTCTTTTTCTCCCCAAGATTTTATTTTCTTTGCAAAAGGTAGTAGGAATTTCAGATAGAAACCCCAAGCCTCCAAGTAGGGAAGTGTTTTAAAATGGATTTCTGTGTAGACCAACTACAGGCTTACTTAGCAGTGAGTTTATTTGTAGACATCTGAATGAGGAATGAGGCCTTGTTTCCTTTTGATATTATTTTATGGTGGGAAGAAGCATGTTAATTTTTCTTTTTCTTGCATTTTTGATAGCAGCATATGTGTTAGATGAGATGCAAAAGTCTCTGCATCCTTTTTATGTAGTTGCTCTATATATAATTTCATTCACTAGCATAGCAATACTTGAGAAAAACTGGAGCTTCTAAAACCAGCAGATATATTTGGATTTATAGTCCTGCTATAAAGTGGCAGAGTGAAATGTGCATGTGTTGTTAAATTTTACCACTCTGTAAGACCCTGCTATGTAGAAAAAAATCTTACAAGAGGAAGTCATGACCTTGTGAGTCGGGGGGGGGACAGTGAGATGAAGGTTCAGCCCCGTTCCTGGGTGGTTTTGTGTGCGCTGGTTCATCTGACTGTGTCTGTTAAACATCTGCAATAAAACTGCTCTACCTTTCATTGACATAAAGATAAAGCCATGAACATTTGTGAGGCGCACTGGCCTTGAGGGATACTTAAATACCCAGATTGCCATTATCAGAGATAAGGCAGCCTTGGTTTGAGTAGGGGAGGAGCTGCAGAGGCATGGAAGTGCTCCTTTGTACTGTGGTGCAAACCTAAGCAGTGCCAGGTTGGGWTATTGAATAATGATCTGTGCCTCTCTCCACTGCATGTGTCGCWCTGGTAATTTGTGAGTGGATGTAGAAATTCAGTATTGCATTGTTAGGTGACWTGCAAATCAGTGTTTCAACCACTGCTGGTGTCTTTTTTTTTTGTTACAGCTTAAAATGGAGAAAGCTGCTAAACGGAAAGAGAGGAGTCCAGCACCATCAAAGAAGCCATGAGATTAATAAATAAATATTTATTATTTGACACATTGTTTGTTTTTGCATTGAGTATTTTTCTCTATGCCTACCTGCATACTTGTAATTATTAGTTTATTTATTCTGTTGATTTGTTATTTTGCTGAAATTAATTTTTAATTATCTTGCTTTAATATAACTGGTTCTCTGAYTGATATGTTTCTAATCTCCAGAACTGCTACACAGATATTTCTTTGAGAATGGAGAACCATATTTAGGGAGTTRCAGAACTGTTATTTAAGGTCTGAGAGAATAACTTGTATTTAAATTGTAGATTCCAGGAGGGCAAAGAAAATATGTCTTATTCTTAGACTTTTATGATATATTTTCTTTATTTGTTGAGTCCTTTGAACTCATCTTGTTCATGGATATTACATGGTGAGATTTGTTTTGTTAATATTGACATTTTAATATTTTCTTTAAACCTTTTCTTCCCTTTCTTTCCTCTTCWGTTGGTTTCATTTTCTTGACATAAAATTCAGACATACCCCATTTCTCTCACACTTCTGTAGGCAGCGTTCTTGCCATCATATAAATATTTTTATAAAGTGTGACGTTCTGTACACTTGTAAAACCATTTCCACACTTATGAGGTACTTGAAGGGATCTTGCTTGTATACTTTATCCCAGATTTCTCTGGTGATACCATTCTTCCAATTCTGTTTGTTTGTTACTGTTCATAACAATTCTGACACTAAAATTCTGAAAGCCTTAAGTGGAAATGAAGAGGTTATTTATAGCATGTAAACCAATAATTGCATGCTGTTGGGTACAAACTTATTTATCCAACATATTCATAATGTCTGATCCAGCACAGACTGAATCACCTCAAGGAGATGTGCTTTTGTATTCTTTGTTCATATTCACGGTTGTGGCAGCATACGTTGTATTGAATGTAGTGGACAGAAAATACAAAATTAAGTGACTCTGTGGTGGTTTAAATGTGCAAAGCAGCATGGCAAGGACTTGGTCCAAAATAACTGGCAGAKAGTGCAGCTTAGGAGGCAAAAACAGACCCTGAGTTAACTTACTCTCCTTTGAAAACAGAGAGTAGTAAGTCAGTTTTTTCTTAAAAAATGACTCTCAGACTGGAGGCTTTGCAGGTGGTGTGAGATTTTACAGCAAGAATTGGGAGAAGTTTGGTTTCCCATTGGAGAGATTGCCTCCATGTGCCTGATGGGCAAAGAAAAAGAGGTGAGTTTGAAGGCTTTAAGTACAAGCAACTTGCTTTTTTTGTTCAGGAATCAGCTGCAGTGTGAAGGCTCAGTTTCAGAAGAGCCACTCACCTTAACTCTGGCCTGTAGTGCCATTACTACAGATGCTAATCAGAGAGGCTAATCTGTTCCTTTAATTTAAATGCACGACACATCCAAGTGTCTAATTAATGTTTTAAAAGTAGCTCTGCCGTTAAATTCTACAGTTACATGTTGCTTTAGCCTAATAAGTGAAACTACTAATTTGAGCTCCCTCTTCTGGCCCTGGCAAGCAATCTGTTCTACACATCCTCTGCTTGGTCTTGAAAGTAAATGAGAAWTTTACAGTGGAATCACAAGAAACAAACAAATGCAAATAACATTAAAAATAAAAAGAATAAAAATACAGAAAAAAATTATTTCAGTTTTTCATAGAGATTATTAGAAGCTTAATAGTGGAAGTTTATTCTAGTTCATAAGTACTTTCCTACTTATTCCTGTGACTATATCCATGATGGAATTCAGTTCTGGAAATCTTTGTGTGTATTGCAGAAGTGAGTTTTCTCAAAGCAAAATATTGTTAAAGAGAGAGGTTTTAATAATTACAAAAAGGCTTTATTTTATATTCTTTTTGATGCTGTTAATATAATTTTCGGAAATAATGTATTGTGGCTTTTTTTGACATTTTGAGTTGACAATATTTGTCCATTTTAAATGTTAGCACAGTCAAATTCAGGTCTACTGAACTGTACTTTGATCATCACAAACTGGTTTTATTAAAGTAATTCAAAATATTATTCTATGCTTAAACTTATTTAATGTTTGCACTCTGATGATACAAAACAGTTATTACATTTATTTAGTGATGTTTCTTTTTAGTTGGAAAATGTGTTGGATCATAAAAATATCAATAGAATTATATACTGCTTAGGAGTTCTGGCCATTTTTCACTCAYGTTGATGATGTCCAAGGAAAAGAAACCTGTTTTCCTTATTAGAAGGCAYGTTTTTGACTTCTTAGTATTTGCACAGTACTTTTTTTCTGAAATTTTATTGATATCTATATGTGAAAACCAGGTACAATATATACCATAAGATTGCTGTTCCATAATGTGAAAACTGGACACTGATGTTACGTCTTAAGTGAAATTTGAATTTACCCTAAAAAAAACAAGAATCATTTTGCAGGATCAAAATTGCAGCCTCCAATTCTATTGGAAAGTTTCTTTATATGCACTTTAGAAAAGAATTTTTAAAAAAATTATAAAAACAGAGAGCAAGTGCTAGTACATGTGCTGCTAGCAGTGCTCATTAAATAAGAGCTCGGTGTAACAGGTACTCACTGATGGTTTGTTTTCCTGAGAGCAGCCATGARCTTTGAACAAAATACCATGGGACAGATAAGTTACCATTCAGCTGTGTGATTTATTGGGTGGGTGTATATCTGTCATCCAGCTGGAAGCATTAACTGTTTCTGACCCTAATCCAAGGAATCAGGCACAGGGAAAAGGGTTTGTTCTCTCATACATGAACACTCTAAGCTGTTAAAGCCTGACTGCACCTGGGCAATGCTTAAACACACCTTATTTTTAAAATAGYTGGCTTTCAAATCAGTATTTTTCATTATAATAACATTTCTAGAGTCTGCAACAGCCTTTTTCACTAATTTTAATCATTCTGTGAAAAGGCTTAGAGGTGCCTTGGCTGTTTGTGATGGTGGGCACTGGTCAGGGATCCAAAGTGGAGTGCAGGGAGCTGCTCCCCGTTCTGTGTGTTTGTGATACTAAATATAAACCACGTCTGTCTGTCTCCGGTTGGGGAGCGAGGGGAATGCRATGTGTGAATTCACAACCAGTAATGGCATCCGTGCAGTTACTTTGTCAAGTTGTCAGTGTCTCTGCAGCATGTTGTGCATATTAAATGGTTGGCAGGTCCCGTGACTGTCCCCGAGCCTCTCAAGAAGRGGTTTGTAGCCATGTGGCCTTGGAAAAGAGACAACTTTGCAGGTAGTGATATTTGTTCTTAGCACAAATATAATTGCAGAAAGCAATAAAGGTTTTCCAGTCTAAAAGACCTTGCACAGGTGTACCTGTTGTGGGGCTTTTTTTTTTTTTTTTTTTGTTACCAAATTTTTTTTTTTTTTCTAGAAGCCTGCTCTTGCCTTATAGCCTTTAGCATATATCTTCTGGTAGAAGGAATCATTACTTGCTCTACACTGGTGTCAGCTCTGATTTTCCATCACCATGCCCATGCTGGGCACTGATCCCACAGGCTCCTTTAGTTACCTCCCGAGGGAAGGTCCCAGGCTCAGCCCTAACACGTCACCTGCACAATGCTGTGTCACCAGCAGAATGGACACCTCACACAGAGTTTATTGGCTGAGTCACAAGGTGCAGAAAGGACCCTGTTGCCTTCTGAAMTCCTCAGAGAGGATCTRGATGTGGCTGGATCCAGTCTTAGCCCCAGACTTAGCCAACAGTTTATGTCTCAAGGCTTCTGAAGTGTAAACRGACATTTGTACAACTTTGTCCTGCAGACATAAGGATGGCAAAGCAGATATATTTATATAAAATATTTAATTTATTATGATAATTATAAAACTATATAGTCTTAATCAGACTGTGTAGAAGCTGTAACTACTAGTATAGTTCAGTGCATTGCTTCAAGTAATATTGAAGCAGTTATATCAAAGTAATTATAGGAAAGGTAGCAAAACCAGTTACTCAGTAGAGATTGAAGTTATTGATGTTACCAAATCAAAGACTGTGGGCAAATCTCTTTTGCTCAGCCTTGAGGAGTAACCTTGAGGGGCAACCCCAGTTCAAAATCTCCAAGAAGAGGGATGCCAGAGGACCCTGACATTAAAGAGTGGGACTGGGAGTGTCTCCAGGCCAGCTACGTGACAGTAGTTTTAGATAAGTTATCAGTACTCTCACTTTTTTGTTCCTTTATCAGGCACTTTACCAGGCCAGCTACATCTTCACCTCACTCGAAGAATGCTTAATTTTGTAGCTGATGAGCTTTCAGCATCATTCAACATCATAGCAGCATGAATAGCTTTGTAAATAGGGCATTGTTCAAGTTGATTTACCCCCCATTTCAGGGAGAATATCTTGCTACACACTGGCTGAGCATGTTCCAAATTATTTGATTTTAGCTTAGGTGTTTAACCTTATCCTCCCAGTCCCAGCAAGTTTCTGTAGAAGTGAGAACAAAAGATAGCATTTAATTTTGAAAAAAGAAAAACTATCTAGTTCAGATTTCAGAATTTCAAGTACTGCTGTTCAAACTTCAACCAGTTACTCTTTTCTCAAATGTCAAAAATAATTGTTCATCAAATGAACACATGATGAATGAGAATCTSTTGCACAAATAAGTTTGTAGCTCTTTTTTCTTGAATATTTGGTGGGCCAAAAAAAAAAAAAATTGAAGGCTAAAATATCTACTGTTGACTGAAGAATACTGTAGGAGGCAGTGGGARTCCTGCTGGAAGTGGATCTCTTGCCCTAAAAGCATCGATTTTTGTGTAGGCAGTCAGGGTGTTGGAAAGGGAAAGAGAGAAAAAGTAAAAATCCCCAGACATTTAATGGTTTTTGTGTTCTTATTGTGGCATTYTGAGACTCAGTCAGAGTGCTTTAATATTGTGAGGCACAGAGGTAGGAATGTGCTTCTAAGGTTAACAAAATGTTCGGTTGCACAGGGGTTTTCTTTCCAGCTCTGAGCTCTGGATCCTTTCCTTTGAATAACAGGTAGAATGTTGTCTACCAAAAACAATGTTTGAGGAGTTGGCTTTGTTTTACAGAGGTTCAGATACCAACTTATAGCTGGAGAAACCCCGCAAACCAAACCCCAAGTCTTGCTTGTAAAGAGAATGAGGGGTATGCCAGAATTGTTGTCTCCTTTGATTAAGGAGAGAAAGAGAATGGATGCCACACACATGTTACAATATGTGAGGAAGGATTGATAAAAAAAGATCTGTGTACTGCTAGCTGGTAATTAAACTGTTAAAAATGTTCATTGCAAACTATTTCTCTGAGGTACATTACCTGTCCTGATCCGTTTCATTAATTCTTGGAAGAAAATGAGAACRGGCTTGCAAATGCACCTAAAATTATGAAGACTGAAAGCTTAAGGTGGGGCATTACTTGTCTCAACAGCAGTGAGACTGTTTTGATTTAATTTTTGGCTGTTATAAGCCATCAAGCACCTATGAAAAATGACAGCTAATAACTTGTATACGCTCTCCACACTTCAAATGTCAGGAGATGTAATGACTTCTTGAAAATAACGTGTGTGTTGACTGAAGTTTGTCCTCAGACTAATGCAGCTTTTGGCAAACAGGGTTTTAGCAAGGTAAGTATTTTGTGAATTTTGTTTTTTACTTAAATGTAAAAGCTTTAATTCTCTGCAGGTACTTTTAAAGGTACTTGCTTGCTCTTGGATTATGCTGTGGGTTTTATTTTCTTAAGTTCTCTTAAACAACTGTTTTCTCTCCTAAAGAAAGAGCTTATTTTGTGTGAGCAAGCCTTGCTGCAGTTCACACTTCAGTAAAATTATGGAAACACTGTTTAGGGTTTTTTAACACTCAGAAAATACTACAAGAAKGTAACATGCAGAATGTTGAATTCTCTTTCTTTGTGCCATATATGTTATGGGCTTTTTTAACAAGCAAGCAATGCTTTTTTTCAGAGACGTGGTTCTTTGCTCCATTTGAAAAACTGCAAAAGATCCTTTAAAAACTTGTAATGTTGAATGTGCTGAATAAAGTACTCTTGAGAAGATAACAAGGACATATTTAGTAGCAGTTCTATGACAAGCATAAAAAGGACGATGGCAGGTTTTGGTTTTGTRTGTGAACTACTGGTAGTTTTGCCTATTGCAAAGTATACCAAAATTAAAAGATGTGTCTGAACTTTTTGTTCAGACATATCTTCTACATTTTTCTTGGAAAGGGAAGAAAACAAACCCAGCATGTGTATTCTGTGGCTGGCCTGTTCCTTTGTCAGGTGTATTAARATGTCAGTGTCAATAAAATGTTGTAGTAACACATTAAGAGAAAAGCCATGTGAGGCTGCTGTGTAATGTGTTGGCATTTTTCTAGCATATTCACAAAATATACTTCGATCAACTTTTTTGCGATTACAGGATTATGTTTTTGAAGCATTAGCATATATATTTATGAGCGATAAGATATCAAATACATTAGTTTTTTTTTTTTTCCATAATGCTGTTGGAGTAATTACAGGAAAGTGTGAAAATAAGATCTGCCTTCCATTCCACAAATGCTGCCTGGAGACATACTTATATTTTCATATTGGTACTCTTGATTCTTTTCCCCCCTAATTTTCTAATTCCTAATTTCCAAACTTATGGTGGATTTTTTTCTGAAGGCARATGTTGGTACAGCAAGAGATCAACAGTGAATAGGCAGGAACTATTTTATTGAAGTTTTTAATTGTATGTCAGTTCTGTGTACAAGATGATAGCATAAATGGATCTTTCTCTTTTTGAAACCTGCTGYGTGAATGCATTTTAAAACAGTGGTTATAAATGTGGGACACAAATTCAAGTGACCTGGAATTTTAGAAAATAATAATGARAAGTCTGGCAAACATGATGTATTTGCAAAGTGCTGTTTGTATCTCTTGATAAAGAGATTCACGAGTGGTTGTTGGTAAGCAATGTAATTTAATTTCAAAATTTCTGTCTGATGAAAATGGTAGGCTTTGTGTGACACATTAGTGTTGATGGAAAGGACCTGAAAGAGCTGCTAATCAGCATTARCAGACTGATACTGGGGGCTAATAGYTCCTATTTAGAATGTTAATGTCTACACAAGCTGTTTGGCATGGAAACATTAGATTACATTGCTGGCCATGAAGAAAGCCTTCTCTACTGCTTCTTAATTGTAGCCTTTAGGGGAAAAAATGCAGGAAAAAAATAGCAGAGATCTATTCTGTTACTGAAAGTTTAGTCACTAAGCTTTTAGACAGATTCCAGTGTRAGAGATTTCTGTAACTCAGTTCTTTCCTCCGAAGGGTATCTGGCTTTAGTATGGAAGATTCCAATCTCTGCAGCATGCTTGTATTCTAGTAGTTGCCAGTGCAAATTTCTGTAGGAGGTTTRCCTAATCTCTGCTGATTTATATGTTATTTTACTAAGCAGTATCAGGTGACTGGAAAATCTTAAATCCTGAATAGACCGAACATATTTAAAATTCCACCAAACTTGGGATGTCTGAATGTTGATGAGAAGTACAGGCTCTGGGCATTGCAGATACCAGCTAATCAGAAGCTAAACATGTGTGACCAGGTGAGAAACAAATTTTAAAGAATTTAGATGACAGGATGTGTAGCAGATGTTCCCAAATACCAGCACAGTGTTCCCAAATACCAGCACAGTCTGTTACACTGAAAACAGGGAAAGCTGGGATGGACTGTCTGATCTGTTGCCATGAACATGCTCTAGGAATTAAATAGTTTAGTAAAAAGGGTTCAGGTTGTGCTGGAGAAGTGTTTTTTAGAGTATGATTTGCCTCAGGTCTATTTCTATCKGACCCAAGTTCTTCCTGGGGCCAAGGAAACAAAGTACCTCTGCTGCTTCTCCTCCAGAGGAAAAGAACACCTCCCTTGGTCACAGAACCAATAAATAAATATAAATGATAAATTCAACTGCGCCTGTGAGCTGCTTGAATGCTTGAGTGTTGTGCAAACTTCTGGTCAAGAGAGARAATAGCAGGTGGGAGTAGGAGCCCTGTTGTCTCTGGCCAGCACTAAACATGCAAGGCTCAGGAGTTGATGCCAACAGGAGTTGAAAAAGCTTASAGCACTTCTGGGTGCACTGGTGACTCTTGGACAAGTTCTGCTAGTGGCAATCTCCCTTTCTGGGACACTTTTCCCAGTCCTAATAACTGGTCTCTTCAGGGATGGGAGCTGGCAGTGCCCATGCTGCCCTAGCCCTTGCCTTGGGAGCAGATGCTGCCAGAGGAGGAGAAGGAGGCAGGAAGCTCCTGTCCAGCTTGCCCTGTCTATCCATCTATCAAACAGAAGAGGTTCCAAGAGCCCTTGTGCATGGCCTCRTTCCTGTGGTCCCATTGTTGCTAAATGTGATTACTCAAAACAGATGAAAATCTGTTGTCAATTCCCTGGAGTTTTGTGTCGGCTTTTTATTTTTTCTATTATTTTCTTTCCCCCCCCCTGCTCTTTAATAGTTTGAATTGCTTGAGCTACCTTTTAGTTTGCTTGCTGTGTAGCTTTCCAGACCCTACACCTTCCACTCTTAGCTTTCAGCAAAACTGGTTTGTCAGAAGTGGAGGGCAGTAAGAGGAAAACCCTGTTAACAAAAGATTCCTTTCTCCCAGATGTCCTGCAAARGTCCTGAGTGCATTCCCCAGTCTTTCAAAACTGTTTTTCTTTGACATTATGATGACAGTGGTAGCTGCCAATTCTGGCATTTCCTAATTTCTATATGAATATTTTCAGTAAAGTAGATTTCCATAATGCACATACACATAATACTTTATTTGTTGCTATGTTCTATTTCATCTTCTGGATCACTTATTGAAAAGCTACTTTTATAATAATTCAAATTTTAAAAATATGTTATCCTTTTAATATGGTTTTTATATATTATATCTAATACTGTTAAATAGTTGGTCTATTATCCTCTCAAAGAATTGGATAACCCAGTTGCCAGCTTCTATTTAGAGTTGATGAGACTTTGGATTTCTGTCACTTATGATACTGAATTCTTCAAAACTGAACATTGAGGGAGAGAACATTAGACTTGTTATTGGTGTTGAAGTCCAGTCTGGCATTGACACTGACAAAGTCAGGTACAGCTGTACCTGTACAGTTAACAGCATTGTTTCAGAATAAATCTTTTGAACATAAGATTTACCTACGCAGCTCTTTGGGTTTTGGTTTTAAATATGTTGTCTTTTTCTCAGAAGAAAGATGATATACAGAGTGTCCACTACACAACTTGATTGTGTTTTTATTTCAGAGGGAAAGAAGTTTTTGAACAGACAAACTTTTGAAAAAGAAATAAATGTACATCACAAAGCCAAGCAGAAAGATGGTACCATTGTCGCTCAGACAAAGTATTAAAAAAAAAAGATATTGGAGAAGAGGTGGTCAAGGCAGGGTTTACTGAAAAATGCATGTCTCCAGGAAACACTGAAGTGTGGAAAAGTAGCTGTCACAMAAATCCAGCACTGGGAGACAGAAGTTTCTATTCTGCAGTGGGTAAACAAGTCTAATCAAGCACTGTACAATACCCCAAGAGGATGCTCTGACTGAGTATCTGCCAGCTCAGGGAATCAGAATTTTATGAGAAATCATATATTTGGCTCAAAGAAAGGTAGTGGAATGTCACAGAACACTTGGTGTAAGTGATCTGATCATCTTGGTTGCTGTAATAGGGGTTTATGAGAAGATAGGAGTGAGTATCTGAAATAGAAATTCAAATTCCTGTCTTTTCAGCAGCAGTGAAAGGAAATTCATGTGAATACGTGTACCTGCTGTGGTGATGGGAAGGAGGACATTAATCTATAGAAAACTGTTCATTAGTTGTGTGGATGGTTGGAGAGATTTCTCTTCCTCATCTGATTTTCCGAGGCAGACTGTTCTTATGTAACTTAATGCATGATTTAGAAAAAAAGGAAAGGGTAGCAGCTTGTAAGTAGAGGAGAAGATACCAGAAAGCTTGCTTGAAAGTGAGGATTGCAGGACATTAGGCCTATAAGCACATTTTTGCAGTGATAGGCAATTCACTGTTGTTTATTTTAGCAACTGTGTAATTTCCATGGGCTTGTCCTTGAGGCTTTTGGAAGCTATGCCCTCTTTATTTGTCTCTATTGAAAACTCACTGGACACAAACGTGGATTGTAAAAGCATCCTTGCCTCCCAGGACAGACCCATGATGGAGATTTAGCTGTGTGGGAATGTAACAATGTGTGCTTGCATGAAATAAAGCCAGATATCTCAGTCGAAGCAAGCTTTAGGGGATAACAGTTTCTCTGCAACTTGTAATTACATTGACAAGAGGTGGTGCTAAGTTGGCAGATACAGCTGTTGTCAGAAATCTTTTTAAAGAGACTTGTCCTGCAGTTGCTACGGTTGCCATGGCAACAGGCTGCTGAGGAAAATGCTTGTGGGTGGAAAAAGGGTACTTGGCATTCGGTAAGTTGAGATGACATAACAAGTCTAATGTTCTCCAAAAACACTTGTTTAGAATTTGCTAATGTTCCATAATCTGAGCATTTTRAACATATTAATGAATCACCTGAGGCCACACCATGTACCGGAACAGTATCCAGTTCTGGTTTAAAGTAAGATAATTTAGGCAAGTCTATGCTGTTAACAAATACTCATACAAAATAAGATGCTCTCCAAAAAAAGTCTGAATTTATAGTAAAGTGTTTCATACTGAATTATTTTGATACTCTGTTCTGCCCAGTTTTTGAGTTACAGTTATGCTGAGAATCTGATTTTAAAAAAGGAAGAAGGCTTTTTTTTTTTTTTTGGCTCAGGTTTGAGATACTTTTATGTACAAAGCTGCCCTGACTGGCCTGAGCAGGCAGCAGCCAGCAGATTCTCTGTTCCATTTCTGTGTGTTTTGCACATCACAGGCATTTTTGGGGTAACACGCCTGAGAAGGAAACAAGCTACGATGTACCTAAAGCCATGCTGGTGAGGATGGAGTTGATGTGGGGTGTCGAGGAGCTTTGGTGGTATTCAGTGTCATCCCAGTACTCAGAGATAGATTGCTTCACACCACTCTTCTTTGCTAAAAAAACAACTTTTAGGCTAGAGAACCCAAACACTAACCCGATTGTGCTTTGGCTGATTTAGTAGATTGGAGATTTGAACTACAATGGACCTTGACTTTTCCAGGTCTTGTATTGTGTGTATTGTAAGGTACRAGTGTATTGTAAGATGATTTTTGGATGAAAAAGACTTTTGAGTGACTGGTAAAACACAAAGAGTTTTCAGTAAATTATGGACTTCTAGAATTAATTCTCTGTAATTTATTTTTTAAAAGGGAAGGATGGTGGCTTCTACCTCAGTGCCAGGCACCAGACAGGCACAAATAAGACCAGATCAGAAACTGTCCAAAGACAAAAGCATTCTCAAAAGGGAGAGCACACATCTTTTGCAGAGGCAGAAGGAACTAGAACTSAAGGTTCRAGAGCTGAAATGTAAACTTYGGGTATGTGGAARTGCAAAGTGGACATTTCTCAMTGTGAGTGTTTCTGACAATACTTCTGTCTYATGGTCTCATCGTACTGCAGTTCAGCTGTGGAGGGTTGTTTGGGATACAGAAGGATTAAGCTGTTTGAGTGGACATTTGCCTTGGTCTGGGACACTCTGTCACCTTCTCAGTCCAGGCTGGACCCCACCTTCACTTGGTGTTTGTGCCTACCTGACATCATGCTTGATGGTTTGGATGTTGGTGTTCTGTTTGACCATGGAATTCTGCACTTTGTGACTAAAAATGGGCTTTGTTTGTAGGGATGTAATCTTTCCCTTCTTTTTTTTTTTTTTTTTTTCCCTCCATGTAGAGGGAAAAACAACTTTCTGTGTGTCTGCCTAAAAATTCTTAAGCATCACAGAATCATAGCAGCTGTGGAATTTTAGAATATGTCCTTAACTGCTGCTAAATAAAATGGATATTTTTGTTTCTTTCCTGACATTATCTGAGAAGAACATTGCTTACTAATAGTTACTGATATGGTTTAAAAGGCTGTGAATGGTTTTTAGTGTGATAAACAGCAGAAATATGAAGAGATTGTATGAAAAGATGTTATGCTTGCGTGAATTCAGAAAAATGTTGTACAAACAACAGATAYGAAAGGAAAATCTGCCATTGTGTAAATCCCTTTGACATCCCCCAAATCTGAACTTGCAGTCAGCTGTTTCTTTTTCTTGCAGACTAAAACCAGTCATAACCAGCTTTGCTGCTTGCTTAACTTTTCCTAGAACATCTATATTTCTACATATACTGGGCTGTCATTGCGTGGAGCCTCCATCCACTGAAGATAAAATGTTTCTGTACAAACTAAATTCTGTGCCACAAAATATGTGTTTGCAGCTAAGAAAAAATGTTTGAATGTTAGGAAATCTTACACACAGTCTGGTGATTTTGTAAAAAGACTGTTTTCTACAAATTTTAATTACTATTTTGTGTTGAATGGAAGTAAATTACTTTGAGAGAAAATGTAGTTGATATTCTTTTAAGTGAGAAAATATTTACTCCCCGCTAAAAACACTGTGGTAGGCAATGATTTATTTGAGAAAGGTGATTTGTGGTGGTGGCTTCGAGGGGCACTTAAAAAAAAAGTGCCCATCATAAGACTTTGGATAGACATCTGAAAATTCAAAACTATTTAAATCCTTCTATTTTGTTTTTGTTTSTTTGTTTTTGTGTTGGCATTCTTGGTTCTGTTTTTTGTTTTAATATCATATAAGTGAGTCTRAAAGGCTGACAACATTTAAAGGCTGTTTCAATACCTGAAATGGATTTTCTGAAAACATCTCTGTGGAATGAAAGCAAGTGTTTTTAAATTTAGGTTGCCCCTTGWGGGATATAGCCTGATGCGGTGTTTGGAGTTTTTCTGGGGTCAAGAATATGCCTTATTTTGTCTTAAGAATATTCCACACAGGAAGGTCAGGCTGGCTGTACATAAAGTGAGAGTTTTCCTGCACCACTTTTAGTTGTGGCAGTGATGGGAATGAGGACTTAAATGAGGTCCTGGACTTGATATCCCTGAACTAACGGGTAGGAACATTTCAGCTGGGGAAGAAAAAATACCGTGTTTTSTGGAGAATTGCTGGCAAAAGCAGAGTAGTTGGAGAAAGGCAGTACYGAAATGAGCAGAAGGAAATTTACCATTAACCTTCACAAAGCTATTAAAGAAAATAGAWTTWTTTTCATTGGTTTGTATGTCTTTCTAGACATTTTGTTAGTGTTTTAAGAAGGGCCAGCTCTGTGTGTGTTCATCTTTAGTTTTCAAAAGTYGAAACTTGGTCTGTGTGTTAGTAGCACTGGCTGGCTTTTGATGTATYTTTCCCTGACTTTGTTGAAACACTGCTCCAAAAATTATAAATAATTCATAGAAAATGAAGCATCTGAGAAAAGTGCTGAAAGCTTTGAACAAACCCTACATACTTGTATTRAAATAAAAGCAAAAAGGTTGGCTGTTAGGGTGAAAACATTGAAAAAAGCTAGGTATATTTTTGGTTTTTTTTCTGAAGTAGGACTATTAATCATTGCCTTGCTTATCTCCTGAAGCCATGCCTGRTTTTCTTGTTTCCCAGAAGTTTAATTTTCTTAATTTTCTAAGAAAAATGTTTTTGTATGGAGAGGGGACCACTTCTCAAAAGCACTGCTGAAACCTGATTTTTTTGGCAGCTCATTGTGGAATTTGCATTTGCAYCTCTTGGTGCTGATTGGATGACTTTGGTTCCCTTCTGCCCCTTTACTGTCACTGTGGCAAGAAGAGCTTTCAATTCTGTCTTCAATGAAGTTGCAAATTAATAAATGCACATAGTTGCTAAAAGTAACTGGATAGTCAGAGTTCCTTGGGTGTTTGTGTTGCTGTGAGAGGTGCATCTCCTTGGGTAGCCCAAATCACCCTTCTAGTTTTAAAAGAAGAGACAAAAGTGCAGTGGGAAGAGACTTGAAATAGAGGTGAACATCAGCTCCTTTAAAAAGGAATGTGCATCTTGTTGTAGGAAAGATGTGTGTGAAAGATGACTTAAAAAATACTAATAGAGGAAATAGGACAAAAAGGGAAATTAGGAGAAGGAGGGAATTGCTGTGTACAGCTTGATCAACACTGAGGTATAATGAATTTATTTTTGGTCTTTCCACCTTCCTTGAAAGAAAGAAAGAAAGAAAGAAAGAAAGAAAGAAAGAAAGAAAGAAAGAAAGAAAGAAAGAAAGA